TATATATATATATATATATATATATATATATATATTTAAATGCCGAAAGATTTGGGGTCCAGATATGTTATTGAGATGATGAACGCGACATACATATAGATTGCTATGGGCCTATAAGGTACTGACGATCGGTAACGGCCGTGAAACAGGTGTCCGTGTTTGGTTCGTTGCACCCTTGCCAACATATATATGCATCATACGTTTCTGTGTGTCTGGGGTGGTGCGTAAAACAGTGTCATATTTGTGAGTACCTACAACACGAGTGTTTTGTCTTACTAGCTGCACACACTGCCAATAAATCTGCGCTGGACAAGGGATGAGGAAGAACAAAAAGTTCCACCCATGAGTTAAGTGACTTTATATTCTATCAAAAAATGAAAGCACCAATAAATGTTCACGCAGCATAAATAAAGTTTAGGAGAAAAAAGTAAGCGAAATAACTTCAAAAATAAAACTAGATTATGAGAAAATGGAATATGATGGATTAAACTGTCTGATTAAAGAACAAAAATAAATCAACAATTAAGTTCAAAGCATTTAACTGTTAGTCTAATTCCAGGAACCTTCGAAGATGAAAGCAGTTAGACAGGAACGCAGAGAAGCATGAGTGGGGGGAACATGATAGGTTATTGTCAAGATATAGCTTCGTACTCTTGGTACGTGGGGGCACTTGTGGCGGTTGTGTACTTGTTTCGCGGAAAGTTTCACCGAGGCGAAAGTCGGTCGGTAGGATAATTATGCTCCAGTATTTTAAAACGATAGTTGACTGTCTGTGACACACCGGACTAAACAAGTGAGAATTACAATTGTGGAGCGGAAGGGGGCGGAGCGTGTCTTCGAGACCAATGAAGTTGTGGAGGAGTGGAAAGGGGTGCGCTGTTCTGAACAGGCTGTACTTGGAATTTTGTGAAATATATCTTCTTTGTTAGGCACCGAGGGCTCACACACCGATCATCTTACGAGCAAGGAGATGCTAAATACGAAAGGATAATGTTTTTCGTTTTAAAATGGAAAGTGGAACCGACAAAAAGTCCTCACTAGGGAAGAAAACGAAACTTACCGAAATGGCAAGGCCAAAAACCTTCCATTCCCCCAAGACTGTTATATGGCACCCGATAGGAGCGCTAATCCCAGTGCTAACGTAAACCTGACTAGACTGCCGATTCCATTGATGGAAATGCATAGAATATCTTACTTTCAACGTGGTTTTACTATTCGATATCAGTCTGAGAAAAACTTCGTCTTTGAAAGCTCATAATAGATATGTAAACGCCCTATTGCGATGACCAAATTGAGCCTCTTAAATCTTAAAAATAAGTTCCTGTGTGAAGTAGGCGTGCCCCCAAAACTCCTGCGGATAGGATCTTTCTCGATCCCACTCTCTCCGTCCACCACCTCGGTAGTGGCGATAACGAAAGTTCTGCCATGAGACACATGCCGCCTATGAAATAGATATGTTGCTAAGGTCCTATAGCGTACTGACGATCGGTAACAACCGTGAAACCTGTATCCGCGTTTGGTCCGTTGCACCCTTAGCAAAATATCTATGTATCATAAATTTCTGTGTGTCTGGCGTGGGGCGATAAACAGTGTTATATTTGTAGGTACGAGCGTTTTGTCTCACAAGCTGCGCACGTTGCCAACAAATCTACACTGGACAAGGGATCACGAGGAACAAAAGCTTGCACCTATGAATTAATTGACTTTATATTCAATAAAAAAACTGAAGCACCAATAAATATGCACGCAGCATAAAGAAAGTCGAGAGGGGAAGGGTTATTGGAACAATTTCGACAATAAAACTAGATTATGAGAAAATGGAATATGATGAGTTAAACTGTCTGATTAAAAAACAAAAATAAATCAACAATTAAAGTCAAAGCATATAACTGTTAGTCTAATTCTAAGAAACTTCGAAGATGAAAGCAGTTAGACAGGAACGCAAAGAAGCATGAGTGGGGGGGGACATTAATAGTTATTGTCAGGTAATAGTCTCATACTCTTGGTACGTGGAGGTACTTATAGCGGCTGTGTACTAGTTCCGCAGAAAGTGTCACCGAGACGAAAGTCGGTCGGTAGGATAATTATGCTCCAGTATTTAAAAGTGATAGTGAACTGTCTCTGACACACCGGACTAAGCAGATGAAGATTACGATTGTGGAGCAGAATAGGAACGGAGTGTGTCTTCGAGACCAATGAAGTTGGGAAGCAGTGGAAAGAAGTACGCCGTTCTGAACAGGCTGTACTTGGAATTTTGCAAAAGGTAGCCTCTCTGTTGCGAATTGAGGGCTCACACACCAATGGCTTTACGAGCAAGGAGATGCTAAACGCGAAAGGATAATATTTTTCATTGTAATATGGAAAATGAAACCGAAAAAATATACTGACAAAGGAAGAAAACGAAACTTACCGGAATGGCGTAAATGAAGAGTGCAATGAGGAGGATAGCCAAGAACGCGCAGATAACGACGATCAGGATGCACTTGAAACGTTTGCAGATGATGAATTTGCACGTTTTGAATGGTGATGTGAACCAGAAGAATGAGGTCTCCGGACGCCTGCAATCGGACGAAAACGTGTAAGTGTACGGGCAGTAGTTAACAGTCAAAGATGCAAAGAACTCTAAATCCGATATAAATTTCACCAAGGTGCCTTTCGCCAGTGATGGGCCATTTTGAGGAGCGAACAAGTTTGACCTAAATTAGATAAACCTAGACAATGTCTTTTTTTATAAAGAATATATGGCAGCGGGCCGTCTGAGTTTAAAAACATGCGTTGTACGTGTCTTCATAGAGTTATAAAGAACATTGACAAAGCCGTTCGCCTGATGCGACAAAGGATGAGTAAATCTACTAAGGCTAAACATTGTCCGATTTGCTGACCACCACATCAAGATCAGATGCAACCGTAAACCGTACAGTTGCTTAAACTAAAGCCGATTTGCTGCGTTTTTTCAAACCTCCTTACAATTGACAGACAAAGTCAAAGTCAGCGGAGATGAGGATGAGTATAGAGAACGCGGAAGCTAAACAGTACATATGCGTCTATCGCAGACGATCTTGTTCCTTGTCCTGACTGGCAGGCTTAATTTAAGGATTTTAAAAACTTACAGAAGTTAGGAGATGTTATAAAAGCCACGAGTACGAGTAGCTATTTCAGCCTGGTTCTTAGCCCGTCATTGGATGGAATTCCAAGTCAAGACTGTTGCTGCCTCTTGATGGCGTAAAAGGCGCATATGCTTATTTACAGTGAAAAACGGTATTTAAAACCTGAACTGTATAGATCGCATCTGCATATGCATTTGTGGCTTGTCAAGCCAACTGGGAAAAAAACTTGTGCGTGTAGAACGATGTGATGTGAGGTCTCCCCATGTTCGGCCTTGGTTACCGGAGTGAAATCCGAATAACGCCTCGATCTAGCCTCCACTGTGATGGTCCAGTGCATCTACCACGTGGCCCGTTTAGGGGACACGTTGGTGGCACGTACTAATGCAGGCTCAGGTGCCAGCCACCCGTGAAATTTATACCCCTCCCACTCCGTGGGATCTGAGTCAGGTGTGGGGACTCCGGCCGCCTGCGCCTGATCCTGCCTAGGGCATTCTTGATTTGGTCATGACAGTGGGCTGAGGTTAGTGAAGGGAAGAGATAATGCCGTAGATTCAACGCAAGTCTACTATCACTTAAAATCAATGCAGGTGTTAGTCACCGTCCCTACACCATCACGCTGTGTAGCACACGCTGGGCAAAGTCGAAATCTACGGTCGAACTGCGGAAGCCTCCTT